GGTATGTGACCTCACAGGGTTTTTGCAGGACCTTCTCCAGGGAATCACGCCACTGCAGAGCTTCCTCCGGTGATGGCCTGGAGAGAGTAAAGAAAGCCCAGGTAGCCCATGCTCACCCCACAGCCCCACTCTGGGCTCCAGGTTTTTAAATGATTCCTTTAAAAATGAGGAGGAATAGCATAACAAGCAGTGGAGACTGCTGCAGAGTGGGGGCGATGGCCAAGCAATGGAGATGCTGTTGAGGAAGTGAATATTGCCCTGCCCAACTGCCTCTTCAGAGGGAATTCAAGGAGGCCAAATATAATTACCTTCATTGAAGTTAGCCTTTAGGACATTATACAATCTTTAACAGAGGCCTGAATCTCTACTTTATATCTTTGACAAAAGGGAGCACCTACAGCTCTCCAGGTTTCTGTCATCATTAGTTAGCACATTACTTCGTTTTGAACAGAAATAAGATTGCTTCTCACTCTCTGACTCTGCTTTGTGCAGCTCTACAGAATTTCAAAGGTCCTCCAAAGCAAGCATCAGAATAGTCTTGCGCTGTCTGACATGAGAATAATACAAAATTAATAGGCTGCAAAATAAATGTTCCCCTTTGCTTTCCACTATATACCAACTTTTTCTTTTTTCTTTTTTTATTTTTTTTAATTTTTTTTTAATGCAATGCTTGTAATGTGGCTAAAGAGGGTTGTGGGGTGTTTTTTGGGGGTTTTTTTAAGCCCTGAGGAGCCTGACCAAGCTGCCCTGGGGCACAGGGATCTTGCCCGCCACGCTGCCCACCATGCTGATGCCCAATGTTGGGGGGAAGGCAGGCCCCCACTGCTGAGTGCTGGGCTCCCCGTGGCAGGGCTGCAGCTCCAGCTTGTCTTGCTGCCCAAGGGCATGTGTCAGGGCTGAAACCCTGGGGGAGAGTGGAGCATCCCTGGGTACGGGGACGGGGCCATGGGCAGGACAACCTGGGGGCCTTGGTGCTTCAGCGGTGGGTCTGGGGAAAGTGGGGGTGCTCCTGCCCAGCCGCCCTGCCCAGGGGGTCTGGGAGGAGAGGAGAAGGGCAGGAACACCAGGTTTGCTCAGGCTGGATGTGCAGCCGTCGTTCATCATCAAACTGCCAGCACCCAGCAGTAAAGACCCCGATGGGACTCTGCTCGTTTGCTCTCTGGACCCTGAACTGCATTTGCACCTGCTGCCCAGGATCAACAGCTCTCCCTGCTCCCGTGTTCCTCCCACTGCAGCAACCCAACATAATCCAGATTTCCCGGAAACCACCAAATCCACTTTGCCATTAGCTGAATGTCCCAGGGATGCTATTAACTGTGAGCGAGATGCTGACAGCGAGTGATATTGAGGCTGCGCAGGGAGAAAACAACTCCTCTGGCCAGCAGGGAGCCAAGACGTGCTCCAGCATTCAGCCAGGACGGCTAATGGGGACAAATGTGTCCCCTTTGCAGAGGCACCCAGGGCACGGCGTGGATGGTGCTGCCCGTCGGGGCTCTGCCTGGCCAGGTCAGCATAGGGTAGGCGCCATGCTGGCACATGTCCCCACGCCCTGCAGCCACCAAAGTGACCACGGCTCTGCCGGCTCACGTCAGGGGCAGGTTGGGGTTGGTTTTTGGGTTTCTGGGTTTTTTGCAATCCCTTGGTAGAGGGTTACTGGTTTAGAGTGACTTTGCCTGGGCTGAAGGGGAACGTGGGGAGATGGAGCAACGTAAAAAAAAGTTGTGATTTTAGAGTGGAAATACAAGACTGGCACTGTGAAGAGTGGGCACGTGCCTCTCCTGGTTTAGTCACAACATGGCCACTCGGGCCCCTCGAGGTGAGCCCTTGTTCCTGTTTTCTGGAGAAGCCTCTCTGGCCTCTCCTCTGCTTCTTTTTGCCATTAAACCAGCTCGGTGCCGGGGAGCAGAGGCTCAGGACAAGGACAATGAGGGGAGACAGTGCCATCGTCCCCAGCTGTGCACCCAGCCCGGGGACACGCTGCCCCCAGGGCCACCCGGCTGTGCCAGGCTGGCAACCTGGGCTGGGGCAGGTGATGCAGAGAACACCAAGTGCTGTATGCCTCTGGCAAAACCTTTATCGAGTGAAAGTGAAATCTCATCAAACGTAAATCAAGTTTCCGTGAGAAATCTGGTTTCCATAAAGCTGTACCGCCTGACACGTCCTGCGTCACCCTGACGTAACTCCCGGAGCCCGTGCCCAGCCCTGGGTCGGGAGGGATGTGCTACGAGCTGCCTGCCACGGAAAGCCACCATGCCCACCCTGGACCCTGCCGCAGGGGCCTCAGCCCCTTCGCATCCCCAAAGGGCTTGCACCCACCCCTTGGGCCGAGTACGAGCGCCCACCAGCCCACCCTGCAGTACTCACCTCTGGGCCTTGGGCGGCTTCTCCGGCTTCTCCGGGTAGGGGATGATGAAGTCGATGGCCGAGTCGGGCTTCTGGAGCAGCGTGCCCAGCTTGATCTTGATCTCCTTGGCCCTGCGGAGGGTAGCAGCAGAGGTGGTCAGGTGGAGGGATGGGGCAGGAGACCGTCCCTGCCCTGCACCCGCACAGACTGGCACGGCTGCTGGTGAGGTGCAGAGCTGTGTAATTATTTACACACAGACAAATGGACCCTGATGCTGTACAGGCACCTGGCTGAGGCATTTTGAGCCGGGCACTCAGAATCAGCGGCAGCTCTTGATCTCTTTGTCTTGTCCCCATCTGTGTCAGGGATAATTGTATCAGCCGGGCTGGCAGGCTGCTGGAGGATGGATGAGGGGACTAGCATGCAGCACTCAGTTTCTATAGTGATGTGCCCCCAGGAAATGCTGGTGAGGAGCTGACAGAGCTCCCTGTGAGAGCAGGCTGTGCTGAGCCCCCCACCAGCCCCGCATGGCCAGTGGTTTCCAGAGCGGGGGGCCCTCCCCGGGTCCCAGCCTGCAGCTGGAGGGAGCAGAGAACTGTTCTCATCACATCCCCTGGGCTTTCTGAGGTCGCTGCCTCTGCCCGCATCCACGTGTGGTGCAGCCCCCAGCCCAGCGCTGTGCTGCCCAGCGCCCTTGCCTCCCGCAGCCCAAATCCTGCCCTCCCCGGGGATGCTCTTGCTGACACACGGGTTAGCATGCACCACGACACCTGCCAAAATCCGGGTGAAAAGCTCCTTGGCATGCGCTGTGCCCGCTCCTGACCCTCCCAAGCACTCACAGCTGGGGACTTCCTCCTTTCCAGGCACTTTTAGCAGGATTGGGTTATTTTTCTATTGCTCTCTTGGGGACCAAGAGCGATGTGTGCTGCCAGGAACCCGTCACACTCCCAGCTAGTGCTCGTGGTTTCTTTGCTCCCTCTTAAGTAACATATAAGCCTTATGTATATAAGCCTGCCCAGAGAAGCTGTGGATGCCCCATCCCTGGAGGGGTTCAAGGACAGGCTGGATGAGGCTTTGAGCGACCTGGGCTAGTGGGAGGTGTCCCTGCCTATGGCAGGGGGTTGAACTGGATGATCTTTAAGGTCCCTTTCAACTCAAACCATTCTGGGATTCCATGATTCTGTGTCTGCAACAGGAAGGTTCCTGCAAACAGGGAAGTCCTGGGTGTTGTTTTGCCTGGGCAGATGGGAAGAAGGGTTTCAGGAGACGAAGTGCTCTGACTGCCACGGGAGTTTCATCCTTCACCCCTCTGGAGGATGCATAGCCATGGCGGGGTCCTGGGGCATGACAGCAAGTCCATCTGTCTCTCAAAACATCCCCTTTTGTGCAATACAACTTGCAACGTGGTCCTGAGCATCCGAAGCCAGCGAGGAGGCTCCCCTCTGCTGCAGCTCAGTGTTGGTAGCAAGAGCGAGCCGAGCTTTTGCAGAGAAAAACCAGGTGTGCTGTCCAAGACTGAACACATAAAGGAGTGAAAATGGACCTTTGCAGGGCAGGACTCCTCCTTGTCACAGCAATGTCTGGTCTCCCAGGCTCACTGGCAGGCAGTGCGGATGAGGGCAGAGGGACCCACCATTTCCCTGCAGCCCAGCCGGGCTCGGTGCCTGTGCCATGGTGCGGCCGTCGAGGCCACGCTGCAGCTCCCCAGCTCCAGGGCTCACTGCGCGTCTCCTCTCTGCTGTTTATTTTCACAAGTCCTCTGTGGTCAATCCTTCCTTTGCTATGTCTGCTATTTCATTTCCATTCCTTTAATTTTTTCCCCTCCCTGTAAAACTCCCTCTGTGTTTTGGTTTTCCACCTGCCAGACCCAAGGGTGACTTTTTGAGACCCGGTGCGGGCTGTGCTCCCCCACCAGCTGCCCCCCGCTCCTGCTGCAGAAACCTGCCTCCGACAGCGGATGCCAGGGCATCCCAAGCAGGCGGAGGGAAACACAGGCTGTGCTGGGAGCAGGGGCACCCAGAGCCAGATCTAACACCCAACGGAGTGAGCCGGGTCCTGGGGACCTTGCTGCCCTGCTGCAGGTGGGGCCAACACACGCATGAGATGCGGATGCAATCGACAGCAGCTTCGTGCAGCAGCAAGCACTGTCCTGGGTCACACTTGGACCTGGTTCAAAATCTTGCTCCCCAATTCCCACCCTCTTGCAGTGAGTTGTGGCCAATGGGTGCCGGGCTCAAAGGGCATTAATGGGCCTTGGTGGCCCAGAGCAGCCCCAGCTGAACCCCACACCCCAGGGGCTCCATTTGAGCTCAGCCCTGGGGTCACCCTCCCTTTGGCTGTGCCGTAGGGGGACATCTCGTCAGCCGGGTCTCCTGGCTCGATGCCAGACCTGTATTGCCCCCCCCCCCGGCTGCTCCCCATGGGGCTGCTGGGACAGCTCCAGCCCCACTCCATCCCGCAGGGCTGGTGATGGACCGTCAGCGGCTGCCCACCCTACTGAAGCCCACCAGGTCCCAGCGTGGGGACAGCAGCAAGAACCTCCCCACCCCGTGTGTGTGTCCTCAGCTGTGGGGCTTTAGTGCACAGTGGGGAGACTGCAGAGAGGAGGAAGCGTGGTGAAAGGAAGCGAGGAAGGAGAGGCAGGCTGTTGCAAGCTGGCGGGAGGGAAGGACTATTTAAAGACATTATCCTGGCATCCTCCAGCAGCAGATGTATTACAAGCAAGTCTTCAGCAAAGGCTAAACAGCCGGGTAAAAAAGGCAGCTATAAACAAAAAGGCACCTTGCAAAAAACCCCCAGCTACATCTGAGGGAGAAAAAAACAAGAGGACCGTAAACGGTGGAAGGTTAAATGTGAGAACATATGGGAACAAGCCAAGAAAAAGTCTGAGAAACAACTTCCAAGAAGCATTAAAAGAAAATATGGGCTCTGTCAAACATATCAAGAGCAAGAAGGCTGCTGGGGAGGGCCAGGAGAGACTCCAGCTTTAAAAGCAAAGCAAAACAAAACAAAAAAAAGCAGCTTGAAGAAGTTAAAGCTACAGCTAAAGCTAAAGCTGCTGCTGTGCCCCAGGGCAGGGAGGTGCCGGAGGCAATGTCCCTGTGGGGAAAAGGCTCCAGGGGGATTCAAGGAGCCACAAAGCTGCAAGGGTGATGCTGCAGGGGCACGTCAGTGGCTGTGTCAGATAGGACACATGGACAAATATGGTCTATTGGAGAGGAGTCAAGGCTCTGGCAGTGGGAAGAGATTCCTTCAGACCTACCAGCTCTCTCTGGAGAGGTCAGCAAGCACATGCCGTGGGGAGGGTTGGGGTACCAGCCCCTTGGGTCCACACAGAGCTCGGGTGGGCTCTGCACGGGGCTGCGGGGAGAAGTTCATCCTGCGGCTGGCAGCGCGGGGAAGGTAGGACACAACACGCAGGGGAGACGGTGGGGACGGTCTTCGGGGAACGTGGGCTGGGACCATACGGTTGAACACATCACGGGCATGGGGAGAAGGGCTGAGCGGTGGGTGCGGCGCTGCTCGGGTACCGCACACGGGGACCAGCTGTGGGGGCTGTGGGGGGTCCTGTGAGACTGGCGGTGACGCCACTGCCAAAATTCCTTCTAGAGCAATACAAACCAATGCATACGGGACAAACCCCATCTTAACACCGTGTATACAGTAGTGGATTGTACGGGAAGCAGCCTTTCCAGCGCGAGGGTTTGCAGGTGTAACAGGGCAGTGAAAGCATCAGCATGGCAGCAGGGAAAAACCTACTGCAGGATGAGCCAGGAGCAGAGGAGTGACAAGGGTGATGACAGCAGAGCAGAAACCTGTGGTTCACCCACACCCACAGTGGCTGCAGGGACCAGGTGAGGTGGGTGTGGGGACACCCAGATAGCCAAAGGGCACACAAATAAATGGTCACAGGTCTGTGCTCCTGTTCATGCCTGTGATGGGAACTTGCCTGCCTTTGGGCAAGCAGCATCCACTTCAGCTGACGAAGGGGGGCTTCTCCCGAGCTCCCCCCGGGACAGCGAATGCCACCCTCACTCTCATCTGAAAACCAGTGCTAAGGCATTTGCAGCTGCGAGGAAATCCTCGCTGGGTGTGAAGTCTTTTACCAAGTTTCCTCCTTAGGTGCAGGATTGTGCCCTGCTGCCTCAGGGAGACCCCAGCCTCGTGCCACAGTCCCCCTCGCATCTTTCCTTCTCACCGGACCCCTCTAAAGCCCCCCCAGCACCGCAGAGCAGAGGAGGGGGCAGGTTTGATCGGTGTGGGAATGGCTGGGGGCTGGAGCCTGCCGGGTTCCCCGAGGCCAGGGCAGCCTGGGCAGCACAATCCCCACCCAGCAGGCTGTGAGGGGAGCGCCGGGGAGGGGGGATGAAGATGAGGATGAGGATGGGTGACATGAGCGGGGCAGAGCAGGCACTCTGCACAGAGCCAAGCCTTGTGAGAGGGGCCAGGGCCAGCTAATCCATGTGCAATGGAGATGCAGGCGGTTAAAGAGGATTTGGAGGCACTTTGGAGCCAGCGCTGTTTGCGCCTCGGAAAGGCAACAACCGCTTTCCTGCTTTTTTTCCTCCCTCCCATGGTTTGCAAACACTAAGGTCTGTGGACAACATGCTCCTGCTCCAGGCTTGCACAGGAGAGCAGCGGAGGTTGAGGGGTGGGTGTGGGGCAGCCCAGATGTGCCCAGCAGAGACCTTCCCAAAGCAGAGGGGAGAGTTTGGGGCTGTACCCATGGTCACCCCACCACCCTGAGGGTCCCAGCCACTCGCAGCATCCCACTGAACCCCACCAGCGAGCCTGCCTCCCCTCCCACTTCAGAGCTGGGCACCCCAGTCCCTGTAAGGGATGTCCATCATGGGGATATGCCTGAGGAAGAGCCCCCCTGCCCCGCAGCACCCCCCCAGGCCACCCACTCTCACCTCTCCAGGCATGTGTGGGGCAGCGCTGCTAATCCTTTGCACATCTTGGCAGGCTGTAGTTTTCCTCGTCGGTGAGAAGAGTCTGAGTGATGGCTAAACCAGGCAGTGGTGGCTCTGTCTGCAGCCCGGCTCCCCCCGCTCCCTCCTATATAGCGCCGGGAGCTGGACCCCTGCCAGCCCCGTTTTTGGCCGTCCCGCCGCAGCTGGCCTCGGCCCCAGCAGCTTCTGGAGTTTGTTTTCTCCTCTCTAAGCTCACACGGAGGGGAAAAAATGTGTTTTGTTTTATTTTTTTTCTGGGGTGAGATCAGGTAATCAAACTGGAAGGGCCAAGCTGCTGTTGGGAGGCTGCAGGAAGCCCCCAGGGTTTCCTCTTAATGATGTATCAGGCTCAGGGTCAGTATTTAGAAGACCCAGGTAGGAATGTGTCATTCAAGTGAGGATTTTTTTAAATGAAAAATGTCACTTTCATAAAAATAAAAGTGCTTGGGAGAAGCCTTGCTGTTGATATAAAGGCTGTGGCTAGCATAAAAATATCTACAGCTTCAGCAGTGGTTATCGGCTGGTGGGTAATGGTGACACTTGTTCCAGAACAAATTCATTTTAATGTAAGCTTAAAAAAAATAAATCTGTTAATCATAGCAAACATTCCGGTTTATCTGACAATGACACTTTCACGAGGCCAAAAAGAATTCCCACACAGAATTTTGCTAAGTGGAAAATCTGTACCCTTTTTCCATCTCCTTTCAGAGCAGTAAAACACACGCCAGAGCCCGGAGCCACCCACAATGTGGGGCCTGAGCAGGGACCGGTCCCCACTGCCCCCTGCACGGCTCTGCCCTGTCGCTGCCGCATTGGGACACAGCCCCACGCTCACCCAAAGCTTGGGTGCTGCACAGCGCCTTGGTGCTTCTGTTTGCTCAGGTGAGATCTCTCTGATTGTGCCACTGAAACCCACAGTCGCGGAGCCAGTGCCTCCCTGTGGTTGTGACATCGGTGGCATGAGTTGCTCCCAGCCTCAGCCTGGAACCCAGCACAGGGTAGGTGCCAGCCCAGAGAGAGGCTGCCCACATCGCTCCTGACACGGCTGAGTGGAGAGGAGTAGAGAGGGTCACTGCAGCCATCCCGGACGTTTCCAGCTGGGATGTGACAGCCCATCATTGGCAGGGTCACCAGGGGCACGGCTCATCACCTGGGTCTGCAGGACCACAGGAAAGCCCTCAAACACCTGCAGGACAGCCATGGGAGCATCAGCACCAACTCTTGTGCAGTTTGTGGAGCAGGACTGACACCAACACGAGGCTTTCCCACCCCACACTGTGCTTGTGCAGTTACACCTGCCCCAGCACAGCGCTCAGAGGGTGTGCAGCTCCGTCCTGCTCCCAACTCCCGCTCTACCCTGCCCAGGGCATCCCTGGGCATCCTGCTGGGGCTGTGCACTCAGGGTTCACCCTGGAAATCTGCTGTGACCTTGTCCCCAACCTCAGCTGCCTCGGGGACTTCAAATATGTACATCAGAGTGCTTTGTTTGACACGCATAGCCTGGAGCTGGGAATAGACCTTGCAGCCCAACCTGGCTGTCCAGGCTCCAGGGGCACTGACAGCCTTCGTTGCCTTGATGGCCTTAATTGCCCTGACAGTCTTAATTGCCCTGACCAGCCCCACCGCCCCGCAGCCTGGGGCTGCATTTAAGCTCAGCCCTGGTCTCCTTTTCTTCCTCTGAGTGGTGTTGGAGGTGTGCCGGGCTCTGGCTCCCGGATGGACTTTGGACCCACAGCAATCCTGTCTCTGGCTGTTCTGGGATTTTGCAGCAAATGACGTCTGCACATTTTGGTGTGTGAGCGCAGGAACTGGAAGCTAGAAGCCTGCTAGGAACTGTGCCTCCCCGGAGATCTTGGGTTAGTTGTTTACTGGTTTGTAATGGAAAAAGTGCACCCTAAAATTTCAGAAGGCCGGATGCTTGAATGACCTTTCCCTGGGTCTGTGCTGATCAGAGACCCCCAGGTGCACCCAAGCAGGGGTGCCAAGCTGGGGGGCTGCCCCCCCCTGCATGGACATGCCCCCCCCCAGCCCTCCTTATGCCTCACAGAGTCGGGATGGAAACAACAGCGGCCGCAGAAGATGGAGGTACGTCCCTCCTTCACAAGCTGCTATTTTGCCTTTTTCCCAGCAGAGTCGGGGCAGCACAGAGGTGCTTCACCCCAATCTGGGGACAGCCCAGAGCCCCCCTGCCCCATGCCCAGCAGCTGGGGTGCAGCCCCCCATGCTCCTAGAGATTGCAGCTTTGCAGGCTCTGCAGCTCTCTCGGGGTATCCCTTTGCTAGCAGGGGTGTCACCAGGGCATCCTCAGTGCCAGGGCATTGCCTGCCAGCTTGGTGGCTGCTCTGAAAGGCTCCTTTGAGCTCGAGGTGCTGTTGTCAGGGTGTTTTGCCAGCTGGCTGTCACCCCCCGGTGTGGTGGGGAGTGGATGGCAGTGCTTTGCCCCGAGACTGCATGGAGGAACAAGGTCTGTCCCCTAAAGACTTTTACCTACTTCACCTCTTTCAGCTCTGGGTGGGCAAACCCCCTGTTACCGTGGCTCCGCTGTAGCTCAGTGACTGATGCTCCATGATCTCCTGCACAGCCCTGGGGTGGGGGTTCAGTGAATACACAGAGCAAGCTGGGGAAATTGAGGTCCAAAATGGATGACGAAGCTTCACACAAGGAGGTTATAAGGAAGCTGCACCATGTGCTGGGATTGCAGTTGTGCATTTTAGCAGAGACTTGTCTGAAACACTGAAAAATAAACCATATCCCATTAAGCAGAAACAAGGGTTACACAGAAATAGTTTGTATTTTCCACAGATCTTTGTCCAGTCAGAAATGTTTGGTTTGTGCATTTCAAGGCTTTAGAGTGCTACGAAAATATTTCCATTAAGGAACTGCACAGACCTTTCATTTCTTCCCACGACAGCTTAATTTCTTTAAAAGCACTTCTGGGAGAGCTTTTTGGAGATCTGGGTGTGCTCTGAGGGCCAGATTGTCTTGTGTACACAATGGCTGGTCTCCTCCAAGACCGCTTGAGGTCTGTGCATTGCAGCTGCCCCCTCAAAAGCCACGTGGAACCTCCCATTACAACAGATTTATCCTGCACCCTGTTATTTCCAGACTTTATTATCCTTTCTAGCAACTTGCCTTTTATAGAAGGCAGCTTTGCGGTTTCCTGGTTCCCACTGGAACTTTGTAAGAATTAGCATCATATTTAACAATATTGACTTTTTGGTAGAGACGTCACTGTAATTCTCACCCAGGCGAGTATCTGGCAGTTCATCTGAGTGCTCCTTCTGGCAGATTTTTAACCATGTGTTCTAAAAATGGGGTTTAAATTTTTTTTTCCCTTAAGTGCTTTGGGACAGCCATGCAAATGCGTGTCCCCTAAAGAATGATGCTCACGTGAGCTCCTTCACAGCAGAGGCCAATGCAAGTAACGCACCAAGGCTTTCTGCGATGCCTTCTGATCATGTCCTGTCCCTGGGGCTCTCTGGGGAGCTTTCTGCTGCTCACGTAGTCGTGATTAATTTTTACGTCTTTAGGATGCTTGCCTCAAATCTTCTGTGGCCTGACTTACACCTGTAACTTTCCACAGCTTGTGTTCTTTTTTTATTCTCTCATCTGTATGCAATTTTCACTTTTAAGGTCTTACCACTTCAGGTGTTCACTTCCCCTCACTTGTATAAGCACATCACCTTTTTAAAACTCTCTTTGCATGTCAGTGTGCATTTGTGCCTGTGTTATGCAGTGCTGCGTGTTTAACCAGCTCCTGTGCTGCGAAAGCTCTGCACCGGTGCTTGTGTGATGCTCCTGACCAGCCTACCTCTCCTTTCCCTTTTGACATTAAATATTACTCTGAAGGTATTGCTTTTGCTCTCCCCAGGACAGTCTGATCGGTAATTACAGTTCCATGGCCCCTCATTTGTTACCTTGGAACTAAGCTTGGAACATGGCTGGGGCATTGCTTGGGCACAGCCCCTGCTTTACTCCCCATCGATGCACAGTGTGGGGTTACACCATCCACTGCCTCCACCAAGCTCCTGAGGTCCAGCGCGATAGTTAAAATGCTTGTGCAGAAGGAAGGAGATGGAGGATCCAGGCTCCCTCCGCTCACTCCATCCAAGTCACTGACACAGGAGCCGCAGTTGAGGTCGAAGAGGAAAAAACCCTGGAAAGCAGCACTACCCAGAGCACTGGGACCCTGGCCAGCTGGGAATTCAGGAGTCACGTAAGTCCTGCATCCCTGTTGTTGGGCTGCCGAGTTCCTCGACCCTGAGCACGAGGCCTGAGAAAGGCCAGGGCAGTGGCTGCGACAGGGACACAGCGCTGCTCCTTGTGCCTGCTCTGTGCCCACAGCAGGGACCTGCCCTGGAAAGCAGCACTACCCAGAGCACTGGGACCCTGGCCAGCTGGGAATTCAGGAGTCACGTAAGTCCTGCATCCCTGTTGTTGGGCTGCCGAGTTCCTCGACCCTGAGCACGAGGCCTGAGAAAGGCCAGGGCAGTGGCTGCGACAGGGACACAGCGCTGCTCCTTGTGCCTGCTCTGTGCCCACAGCAGGGACCTGCTCCCCTTCCGGCACCCTGGCAGGGCAGGGGCCAGCCCACTGCGAGATGTGCCTGGGGCTGGCCTCACCTCCTGCACATGCAGAGCACCCTTGGGAGCAGGGCTGAGCTTCAGTTTGCTCGTGTCCATAAGGAAAGCGCAGAGCAGGCAGCAGTGACAGGAGTTTCCAAGTCAACACAAGCATTTGTGTGGCATTTACAAATACTACAGTGACATCCGGGACCTGAGCAGCCGTGTCCCTGCAGCCACCCCTCTGTGCCTGGAGCAGACCAGTGAGATCACGGCACACGCTGTATGTTTGCAGAGACCTGCTGCGGCAGAGCCAGCGCCCCAGCGTGTTCAGCACCCGCTGTGCAGCTCCCGGGAGCTCTGCCAGCCAGGGGCACTGGTGCTGCTGTGCACTCTGAGGGATGCAGTTTCAGCACAGACAGCTGTTCGCTGTCTCTGCTTTCCCATCTCCATCTGCAGCGTGGCCCCCTGCCTGTGTGCATCCCCTGATGTGCCACCAAAAGGCACAATCTGTGACCAGATGCGGTTGGGTTGGCGATGTGCAAGTGGCAGGCACAACTGCAACACGAAGTTGGCACAGAGAGAACAGTCAGAGGATTTTATTTAAGGCCTGGATTCAAGAAATGGCCTGGATTACACCATTTTTACCATGATTCGCATGCTGGATCCAGGCAGCAGTGCCCGTTGTTTCTCCTCACCCACCAGCCAGCCACCTGCATGTTTGATCACTGGACAGAATCGCTGCTGTGCAAAGAAGTGCACCTCCACCTGTGCATTAGCCATGCAAGCTAATCTCCCACACATGTGTTCATCCTTGACCCAGAAGAGCATCTGAATGGTGAGTTGAGCTCTTTCCTGCCCGTTCCCTTTGCTCTACGTGCCCTGCTGCGGCACAGCCTTTCCCAGCTCGTGGATGGCCCTGTTCTCCAGCACCTCCACCTTCCCGTTGCTGGGCTGCAGCACGGTGGCCACCATAGCCCTGGCCACTGTTTCCACAGGCACTGAGTAAGCAGTGGGGAAGACCCGAGACACAACACCCAGAAACTGCTGGGCCATCCACTCCATGGGCCGGGACTCCTGGCGCTTGCACAGCAGCACCCTGCAGAGCAAGGAGATACGGTGGGTCAGGCTGAGACCCTCCAACGGGAAAAGCTGGAGATTGGGTTCTCCAGCTGTGCAGGGGGCCCAGCACAACTTGCTAAACCCACACGGAGGCTGGGGGGGCTTTGTCAGGATCCCGAAACTTGATTGAGCTGAGTCCTGGGACACTAAACTCTCCCAGGCAGCAAGAGCATAGTCCAGCCACAAGGATACAGCTGAGCATCCACCCAGCATAAGGTTAAGGTGTGTGCAGAGATAAGCTTTGACCTATGTCCCCAACCTCTGCTCTCAACCCAAGCCTCCTCACCTTGCATGGCACATGAGCCTAGCTTTTGGCCAGGCTGTGGGAAGGCTGGGCTTGCTCCCTGCAGCACTGGGAAGTGGTGTGCTCAGCCAAGAGCTGCATTTGCACCTGGTGGCTTTCTCCACTTCCCTCCCCACCCCTCCCTTGGTGCATGCATCCCTTCTCCCTTTCTCCATCTCCCAGCCCACTGCCCTGGCGACCCTCCACCTGAGTCTTGCACCCTCCCTCCACCTCTACTCACGCTGGCCGCAGGATGGTGCAGCGATCAAAGCCGACGGCCTGGACCAGGTTTTCCACTTCTCCCTGTCAGAGCAGTAAGGCAGAGTGAGAGGAGACCAGGATGACTGCAAGCACCAGCCCTGCCACCCCAGGAGTCGGGACGAGGTGCTGAGCTGCGGGCAGCATGGTGCCAATGTCAATGCCAAGCTGGTACAGGCCAGGTACCGCTGGGCAGCAAGTGGCCCTCCAGGAAAAGGCAGTGCGGGGTGAGTGTCCACGGTGGACACTGTGACCGTTAGTCAGCAGCGCACCCTTGCAACCATCATGCTAACTGCAGCCGGACGCTCCTGAGACAACATAGAATCATCAAGGTTGGGAAAGAGCTCAAGGATCATCAAGTCCAACTGTCAACCCAACACCACCCAACCCACTAAACCATGTCCCAAAGCACCACATCTATGCGTTTCTTGTACACCTTGTTGGTGCCTTGGAGATGGGGACGATGACCTTGTTAAGCAGAAGTTTGTCCTTGGGTAGTGAGTGGAGTGAAGCCTTTGGTGCATTCTTCACTTTTTCTTACCAGGAAGAAAGAGGATTATTGCTTTTTGCCTTTTGACAACCAAGATGTTTGAGAAATCCCAAGGCCTTCCCTTCTCAGGGCCTTAGACAGGCAGTGAGTCCTGTACAGTCAGGTGTTTGTACAGGTGGGGTGGTGTTGGTGCAGGTCTGAATTCTGGAGATGGGTTTTTGGCAGGGAGGTGGTTCTAGATAATGTTCTAGATTGCTTTGTGGTTCTAGATCACTTGTTGGTTCTAGATAGAGTTCTGGATCAAGTTGTAGGTCACTTGTTTGTTCTAGATGCCATTCTAGAGCTCATTCTAGATCACTTTGGGGTTCTAGATCAGTTTCCAAGCTGGCTTGGGGATCCATTGGGTTCTGAGGCGGGGAGGACCTAGCTCAGGCAGCTGTTTTGGCATCTCGTGAAGATTTGGAATACTTGCTGATGATGACAGCAGTCTCACTGGGTTTTTTTTCCTTTCGTATTTTTTTGCCTCACATACTTTTTCTTCCTTCTTTGCGCCTCTTTTGAGTTGAAGGCCCATAGGATCATCCCGTCAACTGCAGCTCTCCCAGGTTTCTAGCACGCTGACTCCCCTGCCTCTGTGGACCGTCTTTTCACTGGAGGCAAAATTGGAAACTGGACAAGCTCCTACTTGCCCATCTCCTTTGCAGCAACTACTTGCCATGCTCCTGCCCCAACGAGCCTTGTCAGCCTGCCCAAGAGCCTTGTCCAAATGGCTTTGCCA